ATCCCACACTTCCCTTGCCTTCCTGCCTTCCTTCTCCTATGTGTGGCTTATTGAATATGGATGCAAATGTTTCATTTTAGTCCCATAGATTTGTTGAAAGGTGATACAGTGATGTGCAAAGAGTTACAGGCATAATTGTCATGGCTGTGTTGGCTAATATAGTATTAAAACACAGGAAATCAAGGTATAAGGTGAATAATAAAAACCTTTACTCCAAGCCTGTGCTATCTCAGATGTCTATCCCTATAAACCACTTCAATTCTCCCTTCAAGATATATGATGTGTTGGGAATTTAACATGCAATTTCTGCCTGCAATTATAGATATGTCTCTCTTTAGCAACCCAAACTCTAATCACCAGATTTTTAACATACAATGGTCCCCTGATATTCAGGGGGAAGTGGTTCCAAGATGCCCCTTGGATAATAAACTCTCTGAATGTTCAATTCCTTATATGAGAAGGCATAGTATTTGCATGTAACACACACATTCTCCTGTTTCTTGGACACACACACACAGTAACGGAGAGGAGCGGGAGGATAATGCTCCCAGTGCTGATGCTGGATCCAGAGACAGAAACTCAATTCAGGTCTCCCACTTGTGTGGTAGGAACCCAATTACTTGAGCCATCACTGCTGCCTCCCAGGGTATGCATTAGCAGGAAGCTGGAGTTACAATCAAGGGCTGGTAACGAACCCCAGGACCTCTAATATGGGATTTGAGTGTCTTAACTGCTAAAACCTACTGTTCTCCTGTATGCTTTAAATAATCTCTTGTTTACTTATAATACCTAATATAAATTCTACATAAATGATTGTTATACTGTACTAGAGAATAATGACAATATAAAAGTCTGTGCACTTTAATACAGATATAATTTTTATTTTCAAATAGTCAACATCTGCTATGGTTGTTTCAATCCATACATACAGAATGCTGACTCTATGTTTCAAAAACTGGGGTTATTCTAATTGATGCAAACACTAGGAATTAACAATCCAGGATTTAGGACCTGATTCAGCCATTAATTTATATGCCCCAACAGGTGGCATCTATAACATTATATTGCTTCCAAATTCCATATGTTTATGTTTCTATCAATAAATTATTCTATCTTTTGTATTATAATTACTATGGCCTTGTCTGTATTATAAACAATTATGCTATAAGAAAAATCTCAAAATTTAATTTACAGAGTACACATGCTTCTGGGGATATAGCACATTTTTTGGAGATGAGAAAGAACTAGAAAATTAGTATCGATTTCAAAGTATTGAATCATGAATTAATAAGGGAAGAGACAAAAATAAAATTTGCTCAATCATTTCTGTTATAAAATAACTAATAGGTCAGCAAGTTTTGCAAAGGAGGGCATAAGAGAATATAGCAAGCTTAAAATTACACATTCTTCCCCCTGTGCTGAAGACCACATTGAGGCTGTGAGAATGACAAGCTCCCATGTGTAGAGGTCTCCTATATACTCTTTACTATTTTTCCCTTTGCATACACTGTCAGTAAAACAAGAAATATAAATCTATTTACCTGCAATGTGTTTCAAGGAGAGGAATCAATTTGTGACCCAGTTCTGCCACTTTAATGACGTTTGACTTGAACAGGCCTGATTTTCAAATTACCTCATTAGGAACTGAATTGTGCCCCTCCCCTACCCCTAATTCCCATGTTGAAGCCCTAACCTCAGTAGCTCATACTATGACTTCAATGAGGCAATGCAGCTGAATTGAGGTTATCATGGAAGGCCCTCAAGCAGTCTGACTTGTGCTCTTATAGGAAGAGGAAATTTGGGTACACAGACACTGGGGACATACTAGGTCATGGTGAGGAGGTGGCCGTCTGCTAGCCAAGGAGAGAGGACTCAAGGAGAAAACAGAGTGACTGACAGCTTGGATTTCCAGCCTTCAGAACAGTGACAGAAAAATTCTGTCATCTAGCCCCCTGTTTGTGGCATTTTTATTAGAGCAGCCCTAAAAAATGCACCACCTTGAGACAACATCAACTATTAAGTAAAAGGCACTTCAGTGAAGTGGACTTTTGTTCTATCTTGCTATCACCCTAGGAAAAACAGCCCACAGAGAGCAATCAGTGAGTTGCTTCAGTTTGAATTCAGATCACAAAGGCCCTTCTTCCATCAAAAAATGGAGGTTAAAGACAAAGTCCTATAAGAATCCAACAAGGTTATATAAATCTAAAAATCTTGATATAAGGTTTCAAATAGGATTATGCATTAGATGGGGGAAGGGAGCTGGAGGAATTCATTGAAAATAAGAGACAGGATCACCCATATAATACTTTCACAGTTCCTACCTAGAGAGCAAGTGATTAAGACCTTTGGAAAATGGAATACCATCAGCTGGGTCTATGTTGCTGGGCAGGCCAATACTCTAATGTTTAGAATGTTATAGGAAAAATATTGGTTAACTGATGGATATTTTTCTTTAAGTATATTTTACATCTTTTAATCATAGTGCGTTTATATTGTAGATGAGTAAATGTGAACTCTCAAAACAAGTAAGTCAAAACTTTAGTAAAGTGTTAAATAGTGGTGTACTATTTTTGATGTAAACTTACTAAACTTATTTCTCATATAAACTTATTTCTTATAAGATTATATACATGGAAATGCTATTTGAGCCTGGAAACTCTCACAATTGATATTCCACTTATGCCAACTGTGGGGTTTTATGCTCCGTGGTTCAAAGAAGCTATATTTCTCTTTCTAAAATTGTGCCTATGTTAAGATTATCAGTGCTAAAAAGAGGATTATCAGTTGTATAGAGAATTTAATGTTGATTGTACATTCTTCTTGGATCACCTGCCACCCTCCAAGATACATGCCCTGCAAGCTATTTGTAAGTTTGCTGACAACTGGTTTGTTGTCTGAAACCCCTGTGTTTTGGGGACAGGCACTAGTTTCCTATGGCTGTTGTGACAAGTCACCACAAACTTAATGGATTGAAAGAGCAGAGTGATTCTCTGATAGTTCTAGAAGCCACAGGCACAAATTTTGCTCACCAGCCCAAAGGCAATGTGTTACCAGGGCTCGTTTCTCTGGAAAACTCTGAGGAGACAACGTCTTTTCTTACCTTGTCCAGCTTCTAGAGGTTTTATTCCTTACGTTTCATGGTTCATGGACCCTCCTTCCATCTTCAAAGCCAAGGAGTTAGCATCTTCCTCTTTGATCACATCTCTCTCCACCTCCCTCTTACAAAGCCCACTGTGATTATACTGGGCTCACCTGAATAATTAAAGATAGTCTCCACATCTCACGGGCCTTCACGTCTTCACAGCTGCAAGTGCTTTTGCCACAGAAGGTGATACTCACAGGTTCCTGGGGTTAGGATATGGACATCTCTCAGGGTGATCATTGTTCATGCTACTTCAGGATGCATATTGGGGGTGGGTGGAGTTGGAAAAGCTCTCTGCTGACATGTTTAGGTAGCTTAAGTATATATATTGAATGTTCAGTATATGCTCACCAAGGCACAGCCTGGACTTTCTACAGACATCAGCATCTGTAGGCAGGGCTGGCACTCACTGGCACACGTTGGTAGGCTACATCAGTACTTCTCAGCACCCGTGACAGGTCATTGCCCATGCCCCGGGCCATTTCAGTCAGAAGTGTCTGAGTAGAATTTATATCCACATACTCTGGCACCAAAGTCCATGAGTCGAACCACTCCACTCCAAGGCCGTTCTTGCCCCTCATCCTTTCAAAAGCAAAAGAGCTGCACAGAGACAGCAACAGACACTGGATCTTCATCTGAGGGCACTAAGAACCCCAGGTTGTTAGAGTTAGAAAGGATTTTATAGTTTATGTTTTCACTCAACTAATTTCACAGTGGAGGAATCCAAGGCCTTGAAAACAAGGAGTTAATCAAAACTGAGAGATTAAACGATTTGTTCAATGCTACACAGCTGGTGTAGCAACCTCACTGGGAACCCCCGTGCTCTTCTCACCTAGTCTAGGCAGGGAACATTCACTCAGCTCTCCACATCTCTGTTTATGAACCAAATTGTGTCCCCATAAATTCACATGTCAAAGTCCCAACACCATGTAGGTCAGAATGTAATAATATTTGCAAACATAGTCTTTAAAGGGACAATAAAAGCTACTTATAAGGTCTTTGTGGGGAGGGGGACTCATCCACAGGGCTGGTCTCCTATTAAAAGAAAAAGAGACAGACATAGAAGAAAGGCCATACAGACACAAAGTGAGAGAGAGCCCTCAGTAGAAAACAATTCTGATGACACCTTGATCTTGAACTTCTAAACCCTAGAACTGTAAGAAACTTACTGCTTAAACTATCCAGTCTGAGGCATTATGTTATTGCAGAATGATTATAGGCCTTAGAAACTGTTTGGGCCAAACACAGTTGGCCCATGGTTCAATTCCTGGGATTTCCCATAGAAAGAAGTACAGTTTTCTAAATAATTTCCTGGGGAGGATGGTAGGCTGCTTAGGATGCTCTCATCCCATGCCTGGGTTTGAGTACCAGCTCTGCTTCCAACTCCAGCTTCCTGCTAATGTGAACCCCAGGAAACAGCAGGTGATGGCTCAGATACTTGGGTCCCCACCACCCATATGGGAAACCCGGACTGAGTTTTGGGCTCCTGGTTTCAGTCAGGCCCAATACTGGCTGTTTGTGGCATTTGGGAAGTTTGGAGTTACACAGAGAGAGGCAGAGATGGAGAGAGAGGAATCTTCCATCCCTTGGTTTACTCCCCAGATGACTGCAATAGCTTGCACTAGGCCAGGCCAAAGACAGAAGCCAGGAGCTTCTTCCGGGTCTCCCATGTGGGTTGCATGGGCCCAAGGTGCATTAGCAGGGAACTGGATAAGAAGTGGAGCAGCCAGGATCTGAACCAGTGCCATTGTTGGATGCTTGCACACAAACAGCAGCTTTACCCACTACATCACAATGCTGGCCCTAAGAAATGTACATTTTATTTAAAAAATAATATAAAAGATAGGAAGAACACCAATTATATTAATAACGGAAGTTTATTAAATGCTTCATAGTAAAATATCGAGCCCATTCTATTACAATACACAGGCTTGATGATCTAACAAGCAACAGTGTGCCTTTAGTTGAGAGAAGCTCAGGATGCAAACAGGAGGTTGGGACTGTGGGGAGCTACACGTACCAACATACCTTCCTTCTGCTCTTCCTCAACTGCAATACTGATATGCAGACGTGCTTAGACATTGGAAAAAACCTGTAAAATTTCCTGAGTATTTCATTAAACAATTCTGAGAATTGTTATCTTAGTTGAATGTGAAAATGTTTGATGGAAACATCCATTTCCATGTTTATTGTCTTCAATAACCAAGAACCACAATCTTAAAAACATACTACACAAGAAGAAAGTCTTTGGAGTTATCATAAGGCTTTCTAGCAGAAGGTAAATTTCAAGGCAGTTTATCTAGGACAATATTTTCTTGAACCACCAAGCTAGTGGCATATTAAGATAAAAAGAAAATGTCAAGGTTAGCTGATTAGTTTCTAAATAACAGTATATGAAAAATATTGGAGAGAAACAAGATGTGGGAATGAGTGGATATTAGATAACAGATGGCTAGAAAAAGGTAGAGATTAGTTAGCATTAACTAGCACATACTGTGTCTTCATTAGTCATCATTTACTTCACATTTATAATTACATCAAGATAACATTTCTACAAAATGTATAGGCTCATTCATTTTTCAAGTCAGTTTCCAAAGAATTTTTTTATTCTGAATAGATTAAGTTAAAACTAATAGCATTTTGATATTTATCCCTTATGTGTTTCTGGCATTCTCAGCCATCTGTTGATCACAAGGTTTCTTGGTAAAACATCACTAAAATAGTACTGATGCTGAAAAAATTACTACCTACCTAGAGCTTAGGATAGGGGTCACAATAAACTTAACCAATTCACAGTATTGTGCTCACACAAAGTAAACCAATGTAACCACTTTATATTATTTAGTTCACTTAAGTTCAGAGATTTCTCCTTTTAAATAATCTTACGTCATTCAGAAAATGACATCCTAAGACTTGCACTTATACTGATTTTTAAATATACATTGAATACTTGCCCTGAATTTGGTACTTCTGGTTTATACTTTGGTACTTTATTTTCTTCATACTGGACAGTTCATTCTATAAATACACAAATCAATGAAAGAACGTAAAAAGTAAAGAAAAAGAGTTTCAATTTAGATACAAGTATTTTGTATTCCTATTAATAAAAGGGATCATGCTTTCAAAGGAATGCAAGAATAAAACCATATGTGATAATACAGAGTACTGCAGTCTTAAGCAATCCAAACATACAACCATCTCCATTACACAATGAAGCAGCCAGTTCTAATACACTACAAAACATTGGATTTAAAAAGCTTACAACCAAAGTTTTAAGAAGGAACCACCATTGAAAACAGTTTTAAAATATATATCCTTGTAAAATGACATATTTTTAAACATTAAAACCTCGTTTCAGAAGTTCCCCGCTTTAGGTTGTTACTCAAAAACTCATCATGTTCAAAGCTCAAATTGTTATGTGATCTTGAAATCATAAGAAGCTTCTCCTTATTGGTAAAGTCCTTTTTGATGGTAGCCTGTGGCACTAGCAACCGATCCATTGGGTCCTCTTTGTTCTCTAGTTTCATATACCCTTTGCTGTTGCTTCGATCCAGTCGAGGCCAACTTGGATGTTTACGCTGTTCTGCCTGAACCGTTAGAGTGGAGCGACCTCGTTCTAAGTCTAAGGATTTTGAGTGTGATGAGAGCAAATGCAAGGATGTATTAGATCCAAATTGTCTTCTAGCAGCCCCAGGAGACAAGAGCTGTCCAGCCCCAGGTCCCAGGGCCACAGAGGATTTGTACTGACTTGACAAAGACTCCCCAACAGAATTATTCCTTGGCAGCCCCATGCTGACTGGCTGGAAGGATTCATTGGCACTGGGCAGAGGGACCATAAGAGAATCCATTGACAAATTCCTTGACCTACTTTTGACATTATCAGCATCCTCAGTGATGTTATCAATACTGGGCTCATCAATAACACAGTTATTAAGTTTGATCACAGGCAATGTAAAAGCACTGATAGAAGATGACACAATTGACTTGGTTTCACACTTCTTAGGGCCACTGGTCTTATCGTCAGTTGTTTTGGAAGGAGCTGGATAGAGGCCAAAAACAGAGACAGCACTGTCAGAGAGCAGAGGAGGCATAAGTTGCCCAAAACTCTTGTTTTCATTTAGCATAAGCTCATCCTCCTCCACTGAACTGTCCATTCGAAAACCGCTCTGAAAACCTGAGAAAGACGCAATCGTATTTGCTGCCAATCTCGAAGCACAGGAGTTCCCATTCTGTAGTACTTCGGTTTCTCCCACCAAACCAGTGTACATGCCATTCATATGCTTTTGCTCCTTGATTCTCAGAGTGTGGATGTCAATGACTGTGGAATAGATATCCCGCATGTGTATGATTTTGGTTTCTTTGTCACGGTTTTCATGAAGGATGGCGTTAGCACAAATGAAGATGAAAATGCCAATTCCCATCGTGAAAGGGCCAAGCATTTTCATTTTATCAGAATGTAAGTGCTGCTCAAAGAAGTGCACCACCACGCCACCTTGGTTCCGAATGACCTGAGTTTCATTGGTTGACAATGTTGTTTCAGCATCGATGAAATGTTCTTTTTGGGGCCAATATCCAAGGACAGCCATAGCAATGCCGATAATGGAGATAAGCACTCCTAAAATGAGGAAAAACCCAGATGGTGAGTAAAGCCGGATTTTGCCACGAACAACCACGACATCAGCCCGGGGCCGCCGGCGGACAGGCTTCTTCTCTTGGGCAGCAGGTGTCGGGCTGAGGTTGACGTGATGCTGAGATCTAGCAGAGTCTTGCCTTTTCAAGGCAGCCAGGCCGGTTATCACGCCTCCGGTGGCTATCATTGCGTGGCCTTTTATTCTGAAAAGAAAGGAAGATGATCTAAATAGTTTTCTTGGGTCTGAACATCAATTCACTTCACTTCAATTGTTTATATAGCATTATTATTGCTGTTTCATACAATGAAATGGGGGCAGAATAATATTTTTTAATTGATAGTTTTGGTAGTTCTTTTTTATTGACTAGTGTAAAATTCTGGAGATTTCCTTTTTTGGGGCTTCATAAGTGTTTCTATTCATTCTGAAATGTGAGTTCAAGGTATATTTTATTTAAATAATTTTATCACTTTTTATATAGAACAGCCCTCTGGTCACAAGACTGACTCACACACATGTAGATGCACATACTTACACACATGCATCCACAATTATCCCTGTGACTCTAAAGAAATAGAAAAATCCAGAATATGTAGCCAGCACCAAACAAACCCAAGGTTTACAAAGAAAATGCAAATTCTAGCAAGTCACAGTTCTGAGACATCTCTTGTGAAGGCCATCAATGAACTCCTACCTTCTACATTTAATTGTCTCTTCTCAAATTTCATCCACCTTACCTCTCTGTTTCCATGGATATTACTGGCCTCTCCTTTCCTAAAATTCTCCCTTCCCTAGTCTTTTATGATACTAACACCTCCTGGCTCTACTCTGACTTGTCTGACCATTTCAGTTTGGCCTCTTCTTCCCTCACCAAAAAGTAGATCACCTCTCCCCTACAGACCTGGAGTTGGCCATCTTCTCTTCTATCTCCCTTGGCATTCATATCTATTCCTACATCTTCCACTATTTCCTGTACGCCGATGAGTCCCAGCTCTGTACTTCAGAGCTTCAGGTGAGTTTCAGTTGCACATTTTCAGCACACATATACACTCATGCACCACCAGCAAAGTTGAACTCACCTCTACCACACACCAGCTACACCACTTGACCTGTTTGAATTTTTTAATGTGGTCAGGTCTCAGGCTTGCCTTTTTACAGTTAGCCATCTTTAACTCCCATTTTCCCCACACACACCTTTTCCTCTCCTCATCCAATCAGGCTCTAAATCCTAGAAACTTTCACTGTATGTCACTCAATTCCACCATTCTCCTACCTGCTCTACCCAGCTGAGCCCAGATCTTATTAACTCTTAGCTAGACCATTACAACCTCCCAAGTTGTCTTCCAAACCCCAATTTCTTTTCCTTTAAAATCGAGCTTACACACAGATGGTAGACTAACTACCTCACGATGCAGCTCTGAAGTTGTTTGAGTGGAGTAACAGATAAAATATTCCCAACTACCTAGTAAAATTTAATCTGGGATTTCAGACATGACTGAGTTCCTCTCTAGTATTTCCTTTACCTGACATAAAACCAAAGCCCAATGAACACTCTATTCTGAACAGTTTCTGAGACTGCTATGAATGTTTCAACTCTACAAATTCCCTGTTCCACTAGCACCTGTCTCCATAGACTGACATCTGGCTGGTCATCAAAGCTCATCTTGTACTTCTTTTGAAAGCCTTCTATGACTTACTCACTACTTCTCACACAAGCTCTCAGTCCCTATGCATTTCAACCAGTTTTCTATGGCACTGGCCACATTATAATGTGTTAGCTCTTCCACTGTTTATGGTCAAACATCAGATTAATTAATATTTTTTATCATCAGAAGTATTCATTATAATATCTTGCACATAGCCAGTGTTTAAGAAATATTAGCTAAAATGATGAAAAGGAACAATTTCTTTTCTTGGAATTTCCTGCAGGACCATGATATTATCATACCAACCTTCCTACTGACAAATATGGAAAAACAGAACTAATATCCATACAAAACGCAATACTTTGTGAGTTGGAAAATGTATCTGTCTTGATGGGTAATAAATAGTTCTCAAAATTCCAAATGTGGTTGATAGGAAATAGGATATTTTAAGACCCTCTGGTCTGTGGGGACCTTTAGAGAGGGTTTCTTCAGGGCATCAAATCTGATCCTTGCAGTATTGAGCTCTCCTTTTTAATTTCTATTTACGATTTCTGAGTTGTGTTTAAATAATAGAGTTGTGGATGGTACCTACAGTTTTAGTAAGCTGAAAAGTCAGTCCAGCCTTCAAGAGAGTTACAGAGGCAGAGCCAGAGACAGAGAGAGAGGTCTTCCATCCGCTCGTCCACTCTCCAGATGGCTGCAATGGCTGGAGCTGGGCTGATATGAAGCCAGGAGCCAGGAGCTTCTTCCTGGTCTCCCACATGGGTGCAGGAGCCCAATGACTTGGTCTATCTACTGCTTTCCCAGGCTATGGCAGACAGCTGGATCGAAGTGGAGCAGAAGGGACACGAACCGGTGCCCATATGGGAATGCCGGCACTACAGGCAGTGGCTTTACCCGCTATGCCACAGCAACGGCCCCATAAACTAAATTTTAACCCATGGTTCTAGTCTATGAAATTGATCAAAGTATACATACTAAAGTTAAGAACGTTGACTAAAGCAAAGCTCAGTGTCACCGCATATTTTCCTGAACCAAAACCAGTTCCAAATGTTTGAACAAAATGCTTAGATTAGATAGCAGCCTTCTAACCTGGTTATTTCCATATGGCAGGCTAAGGATTTAGTCTGAAATCCTTCTGAATAGAATGGAAACAAGGGCAAAAGCCTTTCATCTGGTTTAAAAGAAACCACAGTAAATTGCATTCCATAAAGATTTCTAGTCCTCTCCCACTTTTCAAAATATTTTCAATGAGTACTGCCATTTTCTATTCCAGAGACTGACAGAAGAACGGAAATTAGAAGAGAAAAAAAAATATCCCAAGGAAACTTGAAGATGGAAAAATTAAAAAGAGAGACGAATGACTGTATTTCTATGAAAGCAAACAAAGTAAGCAGGACAGACTAGATAGGAAGAAAAGCAAGGGTAGCTTAAAAGTGTGAGAATATATAGGAAACAAGGGGAGCAGAAAGCACTGTAGAGCAGTTGGGCAGTAACAAATACTGTGGAAGAGAGACAGCAGGGTCGCACAATGTCTTCTGCCTGTTCAGGCCCAGAAAGGGACTCCAAACCTCTCAAGAATTAGCAGACACAAGTTTGGTCCCAAAGTCCTCCTTTAGATTCAAGGCAAACAAACACTATACAAGCCCATATTATTATGCAGGGTCCTGAACTAGACTTTGAGGGGAGAGCAAATGCGAGCACCTTCAGTCACTGCTTCAAAGAAATTGACATCTCATGAAGGAGCTCAAACACGTACATGAAACAGATTGAAGGCACTCCTGACGTACAAGTGCCTTTCCAACAGGCCTCACGCTGCAAGAGTGTTCACAGTCCAAAACAAGTGAAGAGCACCAGGGAAGGCCAAGGGAAGGAAGGCAGGCCTGGGAACGGGTGAGTGACCTGCTGTCTGCCCCCAGCGTGGCACTTCTGGAGGGAAGCCAGGGACCAGGGACCAGGGACGTGGGGCTGTAGGGGGAGGGCAGGGCCAGTCTTACTGCAGGCCAGTGCCATTCCTAAATGCTTGAGGTCTGCATTCACCCACAATATAGTGTGGCTAACACATAAACATCATTGGTGTTATTTTAGGAAAACAAGTATCAGTTAGGAGCTAGAAGCAGCAATTGAGGGAATGATGTCAGAAAACAACACGAGGATGCCAGAGGCAGTGTCACAATCAGAAGCCATTGTGAGACCGCCAAGGCCAAGGGGGAGGGAAGCCATGGGATTCTGCAACTTCCAACTGGCACAGTGTCCAGGACATGCAAACCAGTCCACACCTGCCTTTTCATACATGCTTCAGAGCCACATCTCTTCCATCCTACGCTTTGATCACTGTTCTGCTTTTGTTGTGTGTCTTCCTCTGTATGGGAGCACAGGCACCCTGCCGACTAGTCTCCTTCTTGTAACAAATTGCACTGTTCTTCTAAGGTTTGATAGCAATCAGTCCTGATAGTAGTAATAGCTAACCCCTACTGTTTACGTCAGACACTGTTCTGAGTGCATTTGATATAAAAAAAAAACACTTTTATTCTCATAACAATCGTGGAGGTAGTGTAATAGTTATGATTTCTATTTTACAGATAACAAAACTAAGGCTCCAAGAGGTTAGGTAACTGGCTGACAGCTGCCTTTGTTCCTACAGAATACGAGAAGAGGATGGAGTCCAAATTTACTTTTCCTTGAGGTTTGCTTTCCTTTTCTTTCTTACTCTGATTTCTGTTCCCATCCTATATCAGAGCCTAAAGAATGCACTCTACCTTAAAGACTGTGACTGTGGGTCAAAGCAACTTCCTGCTCTCAAGCCACAGAAACTACCTGAGAAAAGCCATGAGGGGTACAGAGGGATGCAGGCCTGATCTTGGGTGAGCATCTGGCCTCTCACATCTGCTTGTGTCTCCTTCAATATCTGAATCGGTTGCCTCAGAACAGACCAGTCTTCATCTTCTCCATACCACATCCCTGCTCTTCACTCCCCACCACCCCGACAGGACAGGATCTCATCCTATTTCCTCAAAGACCCAACTGAAGAACTTTACTGAAGCTCACTTTGTCAATGTGCACCCAGAGGTTTTGCGTATCAATCTCTTTGGATCCAGAGTCTGTCTCCCAAAATTGTGTTGTCTTTCTAAGTTTGTGTTCATCTGCAGATACAAACCTGACAGACCCTGCTCAAATGCTTAGTAATTGAAGAAAGCAAATAGCAAACCCCTGTGGTCTTCTAGGCAGTGTTAATTTATTTGGAAATTAATTCATGAAATTCATAGAAATGGTAATTTGCTACTAAAGTAGGTATAGGAACAAATTATGTTTCCTACCCGGAAGAACAGAATGATCTGCAGGCATTTTTCTTTTCTTTTCTTTTTTTTTTTTTGATGAGGCCATTCAACTAGTTATAAATAAATCTAATAGGAGGGACAGCAACACTCAATGTTCCCTGAATCTACAGGAACAAATCATGACTTTCTCAAAAGCCAAGGTAAAAGACAAATATGCTATAATCCTCTTTTGAGAATTTTTAAAAATAGTTTCAGTTAACTTTTGGCTACATATTGATCAG